TGGGAGGAGGGATGGAGGGGGGTTGCGGGGGGAACGGAGGAAGAGGAGGAGGAGGAGGCAGGAATAGAGGAGGTGGAAGGGGATGGAGGAGGAGAGGAGAAGACGGACAAAGGGAGCGGGAAGGAAGAAGAGGTGGTGGTGGAGGAGGAGGAGGGGGAGGAGGGGATCGAGGGCAGAGTGGGCGGCGCGGGTGAAGAAGGAGGGAGGGAGGAGGAGGAGACGGAGGGGGGAGGCAAGAGCGTGAGCACAAACGGGTGGATGGAGGCCGTGGGCATGGCGGCGACGCGGCAGTAGAGGAGGAGGAAGAGGGACCAGGGGGGTTGGCGGGAGATATCGGATATTTCCCCTGAGACGCGCACGTGGGAGTCTGTGGGTGTTCTCGTCCCTCTCGCCTGCGTCCGTGCGAGCGAGGGCGGTAAAAGAGGGACCACGGCATGCAAGGCGCGTGGGAGGGGGGGGGGCGTGGTTGAGGTGGACGAGGACGTGGATCGATCTCGCTTCCCGAGAGGAAGGCTGCAGGATACCACGTGAGGGACCACTTGTGTGGACGGGTAGGCGACAGAGAAGGGAAGGAGGGAGCGGGCGGGCCCGTTGAGATGAGAGGGGGGGGAAGAGGAGCGAGTGGAGGGGAGGTCGCTACCATCGAGAGGAAAGGAAGCTTTCAGAATCGGTGGCAGGACATCGCCTCTACGAATCGTGACCCCTCAAGTTGCTTTTGGAGTGATCCTTTCTATCTGGCTCGGAAAGGCCTCGTCTGGGTCCGAATCCATGCCTATATCAACACACAGCTATCTACACGCGCCCTTGAGGCCTCTACCTCTTCCTTTGTGCCTCGTCCATCTTCATGCCCTCCCTCCTTCCCTCCCCGCCAGCATTATCACACCACGCCCCAACCCTTTGTCATCCCCACGCCATGGGCCTCACTGCTGAGACTGGACGCCAGGCGTGAGGTACACTCCTTTTCTCCCTCCCTCCCTCCTTCCCTCCCTTCCTCCCTCCCTCCCTTCCTCCCTCCCTCCCTCCCGGTCACCGGCAGCCGTAGGTTTGATGGAAACGCGTCACGTCCATGACGCAGCCCCCGTCCTCGCGCGAGAAGAGGCAAGGGGCGAACTCTGCCTTCCAGTGCACGTCTTCCCACTTGTAGGAGTACTTGGCCTGCAGGGAGTTGGAGGTCAGGGGGTC